CCTGTTAGGCAGCTGGAGTCCTGGATTCAATGCCAGCCTGGGCCTGGTTCTGGTCAGGTGTTGGGTAACTTCTGTATTCATCCCGTCTCTCTCAAAGTCGTCTGCAGAAAGGATGCTCCCCTCCTCTCTGACGTCAAGTGCAGAAGCTGGGTTTCTTCTCTCTCCATTTCTGAGCTACAGTGTGAAATCTCTGGAGTTTTCTTAAAAGTTTCAGTGAAGTGTGTAGGCTTCAGAGAGTCTCTTCAACATGAGTCTCTTTGAGTTTTCTTAGAAGTTCCCGTGAAGGGTGAAGGCTTCAGAGTTTCTCTTCAAAGCGTGTGTTTTATTAAAAGTGAAACTGTCTGTGTAGAACAGAGATGAAGGTCCACCTCAGGAGGGGTGGTTCTAACTTTTGGCTTGTTTTATAAATCTAAACGTCCTGTTTCTGCCTTAAAAGTTTCCTTGTAAAAGAGAAAATAAGACAAATGTATTATCTTAAAGAAATATTCCTTCAACACACATTCTCATGAATAAACATTCAGCATACGACATTTTAGAATTAAACTTAAAACATGCAATGTTTGAACAGAGGTGTCGGTGTCCATCTCCTGAAGAGGAATGCCATTAAGCAAAGAGTTCTTATGGTGTTCTCTTCATGGGAACCAGTCTGGGATAAATATTCCTTTTGATACAGGAAGTTATCAACAATGTGAGTTTTTCGGATGTTTCAAAACTCTGAGGTCAGTTGAACAAAAGCTCTCATTAAAACGATCTGTCTGTTTCATGGGAAATGAGTTCATATTGGAAGTGAGGTTAACACACTGATAGTTTTTTATTACATTAAGTCAGCTAAGGAGTTTGTGAGCTGAGCTGAATATTTGTAAAACGATGTCTGTTTGCTCCCCCTACATATCTTTATCTTCTCTTAACATACAATGTTCTTGGTTTAAAACAAACAAAAAAAATGCTAGCATTTCACTACTTCAGGCTAACAGTTAGCTTTCTATCTACAGTAGTTCCTTGTTTATCACGGGGGATCCGTACCCTGAAGCCTCGCAATAAGTGAAAAACCGCAAAGTAGGAATAGTAGTACAAGTAGTAGGTAGTAATCTATTATATATATATATATGAATATATATATATATATATATAGTTGAACGAC